AAAATAAATAAATAATTAAATAAATAAAACCCATAAATTAAACGTTTTGCTACCAATTAGTTACACATTTTTTTCATATTTAAGTGAATATCAAATATAATTTGTTACATTCTATCGTTATTTTGTTCGCATCTTTACAATATATACACAAATATATTTTTTAATGTACATATGCTCATGTGTATGTAATAGAAATGAAATGTACATGCAATGTAAATAAATTAATTTTACTTTGATGTTATGCTGTCTCATTCATAGTGTACTATATACATTAATGTATTACAATGACGAGCAAAACTGTAACACGAATGCAATGTTGCAACTTTAAGGGTCTGTATTTTTGCTTCTACTCTATGGATGTTTAAGGTGTTGATTTTATTTTGTTAGTACGATATTTAGCTGTCTGATCTGAAAATCATTCGGTTGGCTGGAATAATTATAAGAATATAACAAGTAAGAAAGCTATAGTCTGCTGTAGAGACTTCTCGACTACGAAACCCCTGAACCCTTCTGATATTTGAATAATTATTCGCATATGCCTACATACACGCACACACAATCAGCCATACGCACGCACGCATAAACAGGCATTGGCTGCAATGGTGGCTTACTATGAGAACTTAATATGTCAATAGCTTTTCTTGTGGATGTACTTTCTTCATGAAACTTTCAGATTATGATTATAACATGGATATGCATGCATTTGCAAAGCACAAGTCTCTAGTATTTTAAATACGTCTTTTACAAATATGTTGGTGAACGGGTAGATATAGGGGTGGAGGTAAATTTGGACAAGAATCGAAATTCTATAAAATATATGAATCTACATTTAAATTTGGTCACCTCTAGTTTTAAAGACGTAGCAGATATAAATTTATTATTAATAGGAAAAAAATTTAGTCTCTAGCTTTTATATCTTCTGAGATCAACTCGATCAAGCATACGCCCAGACGGACGGACAGGGCTGAATCGACTCAGCTGGTTGCCCTGACCAAGAATATATTGGGTAGTCGAAAATCAAATATGCACCATTTTGGTCGACCACCTTTGGCCATTTTTCTACTAGATATAATTCGATTCGTGTAAAACTTTTGTGGTTTCTCTTTGAAAAACTGCTCCAAGTAATTTACACAGGCTTCTCTTGAAGCCAACTTTACTCCATTAAGGGAGTTCTGCATTGACCGAAATAAATGGTAGTCCGAAGGTGCAAGGTCAAGGCTATAAGGTGGATGCATCAAAACTTCCCAGCCAAACTCTCCCAGTGTTTGTCATCAAAGATGTGTGTGGTCTGGCGTTGTCCTGATGGAACACGATGCCCTTTCTGTTGATCAGTTCTGGCCGTTATTATACTCATTCACGAAAGTGAATCAGTATATTGGTTTTGTGCAATGTCCGTCTTGCTGTCCATCCGTCTGTCCGTCCGTCCGTATGAACGCAATCTATTTCGGCGCTATTGAAGCTAGAGACTTTTATAAAGTGTTAAAATATATATATATATCTCCGCCCATTGGGGGCGTGGAAAATCGGATAAAACTGAATCTGCAAGAGTTTTATAGCTAGAGCGCTGAAATTTTGAACATCAGCTAATGTTATGATTCTATAAAGTCTAAAGACAAAATTATAAGTCTACGCTCATTAGGGGCGTGGCAAATCGGACCTGAAGATGTGATTTATTAAATTCTGCTATATTTTGTGTTGAAGGTTTTTCTTAAATGAAACACGGTATATGTAGGCGCAACGCAAAAAGTTTATTTAACACAATATTCAGTAACAAGTACACTTCTTCACGTACC